CATCTCGAGGAGGCGTCCGACGCACCGCCTGGGCCGCGCGCCGGCCCCCCGCGCCCGCCCCGGCGGCGCCCCCCGCCTAGCGCCGCCCTCGGCTGCCCTTCGACGCGACCGATCGCTTCTGAATGGCTGACGACACTTCGTTGATCAGGTTTCTCTGTCGCATCCCCCCTTGCTCCCCGCCCTGAAGTCAGTGACTGAGAGCTGGTGGGACAACGCGTGCCTGAACCCGAGTTCACGGCCGCGCCTAGAGACGAGCGGGGGCTGGAGGAGAGGGAGGAGGTCCTGAGGTACGAATTTTTGGAGGCTGGTGGCCCCGTGCCCACCGCCACTGGGGAGTCGAGTGAACTGCAGGGCGCGCAAGCTAGCAATGGGGCTGCCGCAGGCACTGTACGCTCACACCCGACTGGTCACACCTCAACGACTGACATCCTGAACCCCGACCCCCCCCCCTCACCGCCGCCAGGACTAGGCGGCCCAGAAGCGAGGGAGGGCACGGCGACAGACCCGCCCGCGGGAACAAGAGCTCTCTTGCCGAACGCCCCGCCCTCTGCTCCCATCCTTTCCTCCCCTACCCGCCTTCAATCTGGAGATGCGACCACGTGTCGCCCTGAACCCGCGAGTGACCCGGCACCGACGGACCCTCGACATTCTGACGCTTCGACTCCTCTCTTTCCCCCTATCTCACATGTTTCTGCGACCGTTAGTCACCCTGAACCCCTGCCAGATGAGCAGGCCTCTCCCGTTCCTTTCCCTGATCATTCTAGCCATGCGACCGTTAGTCGCCCTGAACCCGCCGAAGGCTCCGCCCGCCTCCACCCCGCCTCTCCTCTCCCCCCCCAGGTGGAAGCAGCATCCGACCAACCTGGGCCCCTCAACCCATCGTGCAGGAACGCCAGCGACGTGCCCCCCCCCGTAGTTGTCGGGATGGGCACCACCGAGGTCCCCAGCTACTCAGAGGCCGTCGCGGGACGGGACCTGGATACCATAGCAGGTGGGGACAGGCCGACCAGAAGGCCACGAGGCCACAGCAGTCCGCAGACAACACGAAGCAGCGGCCACGACTCCCCAGGACGACCGACCGCGTGGACCGACCAGGCGACCTTCCCCCTCTCCCGCCGCGACGAGGAAGGGGCAGATCTGCAGATCAGCAGAGATCGGCCCGCCCCCCCCGCCCAAGTAGGCGCCACCTCTGGACCTGCTATCGCCCCCAACGCTAACCATTTGCCCCCCTCCTGCCCCCCGTAGACGGCACCGACGCCCCCGTAGGAGGCGCAGACAGCGAGGCGAATGGCCCCGGCTACCAAACCGAGCGCGCGGCGCCAACGACCGGCCCAACCGCCGAAAGGCAGGGCGTGACACCTGCACTCCGGGGAGACGTACCCAGCGCAGTCGCGGGCGCTGCCACGCCCGCGGCATCGCGCACCGCCGGTGCAGCGCACTCCATGGGCGTGGAGCGCGGCCCCGCCGCTGCCCCAGCGCGTCGGGCGCAGTGCGAGTCGACGAGCGACTCTGAACCCCCGCCAGAGGCAGAGCTGGTCGCGCAGGTCGCCACGTGGACCTGCAGCATATGCAGGTCCCAACATCCTGCGTTGCAGCTTGCCTGCTTAAACCCGCGACCGTTTGCGGATCGCCCCGAAATCCCAGACAGACCATGCCCAGGGGCGCGCCCCGACCCCGGCATGCACTGGAGCACGCGGGGCAACGACATGCTCTGGCCGTGCCAGAGGTGCCCTGCACTCACGCCCATCACCGAAGGGCGCTGCACCCACTGTGATCATGGACGACCGAGGGACTTCGACCAGTGGGGCCCTTTCGAACACGAGGCCGACCTGTCGTGGGCCCCCAGAACCCCTCAACAGAGCGCAGCCCTCACTGACATGATGAGCTGGCTTGCTGAAGGATACCGTCGAGACCCACCGCAGCACGGAACCCCGCGTGAGGATTGCGAGGCAAACCAGACAAACGACATCCCCGCCAGCGCGGAGGTAGGTGCGCCCACGAGCGCGCTGGGCGCAGCCGACGCCACCAGGCCTCTCTGGTCCCAGAGCGGCCACGACCGCGTGGCCCGGAGACGCGGGATAGAGCCACGCGCGCACGAGCTCCTCGACATACGGTTTGCGCACCTGCACCAGGGTGTCCAGATTGCACGACCCGAACCGCTCGGGCGACCCCCCCCGCAACGCGGGCGGAACAACGCGTCGCCAACGCCCATTCGCAGACCATGGAGGAGGCAGCAATGCAAGTCAACATGAGGCTGCAGCCACAGCGCGCAGGGCAAGGACTCGACCGGTTCCCCCTGCCCGGATTACAAGCAGGGCCCCCCGACCGCACACTGGTCAGAGGGGCGCTCATATGGGAAGGCAGGCGTGGCAGGACGTCCTTCCCGTCCACGCGCGACATGTTAACATGGGCACGACTCGCAGCAGCGGGCGCCTTCCCGGACCGCGCGGTGGATGCCATCGGCCCGTCACCCGCGGGCTTCACTAGGGCATGCCCAGACGTCATAGGACGGCACCTGCGGGGCTCGGGGAACGCGCCCCTCTTGCTGCCCGACAGCGACGGAGATGGAGACATGCGTCTCTCCACGACTAGGCCAGTCACGGCGGCGTGGCCAAGAAGGGGCCCCCCCCTCGTGCCACCCCATGGTTTCAACCCGCACATGCAGGCCCAATGCGGCACCTGCGGCTCCTGGAAGTTCCGAGAGGGCCCTCTGGCAGAGATGTGCCCCGTCTGTTTTAGATTCAGTCGGGCGACCATGCAAGAAGCCGACTACGATCAAGCCATTCTTGTCCAGGTCGCCCCAAGCGGCTGGATACAAAGGCTTCTTTTCGACTGTCTGGGCGACGCTGCCCTCTCAGCCCAGGCGCGCGCAGCACAAGCATACGCGCCGCTATGCTCACCAGG